TATCGAAGAATGCTTTAAATAAAAGTTATAGTACTACTATTTCTTGCAAGAAAGGTCATGTACAACGTTTTTATAGCTAAGATTCGGTCCGACAGGCTTTCTATTTCGTCAAAGTGAAATTTCCTCCATGATTTTAGGTGTGGATGCCCTTAAGATTCCTCGACAGCTAAATGCATTTGAAATTATAAAATCTGGCCAATTGCGATAAAAAGCATTAAGAAAGAGAAGAGAGAGAGAGAGAGACAGAACAGATTCCGCGAGGAAAAGCAAGCTCGCGCGTGTCCCGGGCGCGGCATTGTTTCGTATATCTCGGTTCACTTCCAGCAGCAGCCCCGGCGTTTTCTCGTTCGGTTCTCTCTGCGACTGTCTGGTTTCGCGGTGCCCTCTTTCCTCTCTGCGCCGATCGCGGGGCGAAGACAGGAGAGGAGAGGACAGCGAGATACCGGTTATTGGCGGGGAACTGGCATATTTCACCGAGTGTCCGGCAATCAGGCCTTTGTATACGGCTTTACCGTAGGTACAGGCTCTCTCCCTCGCCGAGAGATACTCTCGAAACGAGAGCTGACGATGAAGAAGGACGGAGGGACGTTTACTCAACGGCGTAGAAGCGGCTAAGCCACGACGCAATCGTGTCCGCGAAAGTCGTCGTCATTAATAGGAATAGTTCAACTGGAATTGTTTGATTTTTAGAAACACATCAGGAGAGATCGTATCCCATGAGAAATTCGTCTTTGGACTACGTCTGGTGTTTTCTTCCTATTCTAAACTAACAGGAGAGAGAACGTATGCAAAACTACTATGACACGATAGCTGAGCGTGGTAAGGAGCGATCGATACGAAGGTGTCAGGGTTTCGAACGCGTTTTAGAAACTCGGTACCATGCACAGGTTTCCGTTTTTCGTTAGCCATAGAACAACAAAAGTCTGGTTTTGTTGACAGAGCTCGTTAGTTTCGTAGATAAGGCTCGGATATGGTAGTTGGCTGGGAACAGGTAAAACGGAGTAACGAGATGCGGCGTGGGATAGGGTATGGTCGGGAATGGAAAGGGAATGGAACGTTGGCACGGCGCGGCGGCGGCGGCGGCGGTGCGAAAGGAGAGGTCAGCATCGAGCGATAATCGTCGAGGAATAATTTGGTTCGTATCGAATCAATGCGAGGGGTCGAGGTACGCCAAGTAGGTCGCTGCAAATCCCATTGCTGCCAACGCGACCAACCGGCCTCTGTGTGACGCTGCTTTGCTCCTCTCCTCCTCCTCGTGCACGCTCGTCTTCTACGCGCCGCGGAAACTCTCTCGTTGACCTCGCCAGTCGAAGATCACCGTGGAACGGACTTCATTTTCTTCTCAACCGCGCGTCATCTTCAAAAAACGATCCAGTCACTTTTTCAACACGAAGCGCTTGCAAGTCTCTTTAAGTTTCGCGAAACGGGAAACGTTTATCCGATGGTCACGCGTTACGAGATTTATATTTAGCCACGAGTATAGGTACGAAATGCACAGAAGTTGGTCTTGGCAGTTTCCACTGGTTCCCATCTGAAATAATACAGTCTGCCTCCTGCCGTACGCGGCGATTTCCGACGAGAAGGGAGAGAAACTCTTTCTTTTTTTTTTCTTTTTTTTTTTTTTAACGAACAGGGACCGAAGAGGCGAGGGATGGATTTTTCGCAGGGTTAAAATTAAATCCAGCGCGGCGAACGGAGCGCGATCGAGTGCGTAACCTCGGTTAACGGACGGCTGCGTGGCCACCGCGTATCCCTCCCGTTTTGACAGTCCCCGATAACGTCGTTATATATTTGCTAGCATATATGTATGTATATACCGCGACCACGGTCACGTGAGGCGGTTGTGCAACAACGGCTTTTCTCGAATCGGTTAAATTCGATCCGTGTTCCGTGCGACTGGAGAGGCACGGGACCCTGACAAAAGTCATTACTATTTCATATCGTGACTATTAGAGGTGTAAAAAATACTTCCGCTGTAATTCTCATGCCCTTTACGTCTTATAATTAATCGCGATCCTTCGCTAGTTTTCCTATTTTTCTCTCGCGAAATACCGCGTCCAATTAACGTAACTTGTTTGGAGAACGCGGGGATATAAAAGGGCTGGTACGGTGACTCTGTTGTTGACGGTTTTCAGTAGTAGTAGCACGTGCCGTTGACAATGAGTAGAAAAGGTACATGCGCATCGAACGCGGCACACCAACTGCTGCTTCCTATTCACGTATTCCTCACGTGATCACGACTCCAGTTTCGCTCGGAATTTTTCATTTCATGTAGACACACACAGACGGTATTAAGTGGACAGAGCTGGAATAGCCAATCCTTACTTAGACCAATGCCAATCCGCTTAATAACGTGTACAGTTGTACGCACAGTGGTTGAAATGGTATTGACAATTCCTATCGAATCTTGTATCTAACCGAAGCAGGATTAGCGATTATTGGCTATACAGTCAATCCGAAAAGTTTATGTACCTTAGAAAAACGCATTTTCTATAATTAAAGAGAAATCAGACGTCGGAAGAATAATGCTAATAATAAATAGCTACGTGCTAAAAAGTATAGAAGGAAATATCCAATTAATTATTGACGATAGCGAAAAGTTTATTATACAGAAATTGTAGGCACTGATGTCCTCTACAAGAAAGATTCTATGTATTTTTCTTCTAACTTGAGTATTTAACGAGTTAAGTATGATTATTTGGCATTTTATTGGCATTGACGAAATTCGNCGTTTATTATTAGCAATGTTCTTCCGACGTCTGATTTCTTTTTAAAAAATGCGTTTCTAAAGTGCATAAACTGTTGGGATTGACTGTATAGCCAATACATCCTTAAATTGCTTCGTACGAGTCTTTTTTATTTAATTACTCTGAATATCGTCAATTAGGGTTGCGCGCGAAGTTACTGGGATAATAATCAACCGCAGTCACGAGTTACGATGATTAGGTTTTATTAACTCGACGTGTTGTCCTTGGACGAATTTGTAAAAAGCGGAAAGAGATCACTGGAACGGAAAAGAATGAAACGCGGCAATGAGACAATGGAGTCGTTATGCTGATCGGCCTCCGCTTATCGTTATTGTTCCCTGGCTGATTTGTGTTCTCGATTCGGTTTCCAACGATGCGAGTATGCTGATCGTGAAACCGATATGGTCACTCTTCCTCTTTACAATTACAAATCGCAATTACGTCTTTACTCCGTTTTAGCCTTACGAGTGTTTAACTTCTCAGTTTATTAACTCGTACAAGATACCGTGGGTGAGAACTGGGATTAGATTAGGGAAGTATTAATTAACGAGCTTGTCGATTAATTTACGATCTGTCGATCGTCATGACGCAAAACGCCTGTTTTTTCTATTTACAGTCTGATTCTGACGCAGTTGTTAGTTCCTTTTTAAAATAAGAGGAAATAAGAGGAAAAAAGAGGAAATGAAGCTTTTCTTATATTTCAACCCTTTGCACTTGAGCGGCGCCGGCACGAAAATTAATTGCAAACTATAATATTTA